ACCTTGTGATGGGCTCCCCCTTCCTTCTTGCTTATAAGTGGACAATCAACTTACATTATTCTTGGAAATAAAAAGATCTAAATGCATGCTGTAGGTGTGTGTGTGTGTGTGTGTGTGTGTGTGCACGCGCATCTATGTGTGTTTGCTTTCAATGGGCATAAGTTGTTTATTTTAAATGGATATGTCATATGCCAACCTTAAATTACTCCATTTTAAAAAGGTGTGTGTAGAGGGGAGGGAGGGTGACTTTTTAATTATGTTGAGATGAAAAGAGAACTGTAACCATTCAAAACAGCATCTGTTATGCCGAAAATTCCCCAAACTGATCTGTTATCCAAAAGTTATTTAAGAGTGAGGCCACAACATCCTTTCTATTGGTGAGCCTAGTCCTGCAAACTTCTCTGAAAATGACCGATGACTCCAATCACCTGGAGAGGTCACGTATGCCAAGCCGAGCCAAGTACAAACGCCCTGATTTGGGTCAGTTGTCATGGTTTTCTTCTTGTGTGTGCTTATACTGTGCTAAGCCACTAGGCTAAAACATGTCTTGTGTGTCACAGGACTCAGATTTATATATATGTTCTAACCCTTTAACATGTCTCTCCAGAAGCACAAAAGTAGGTAAATGAGAAGTTACATGTATTCACCTAAAGGAGACTTTGCAAAGCTGCCGATAAACAAAGACTTGTTGAGCTCGTACTGCCTGCCAGAGAAGCACAGCTGGGGGCAAGAACAGACCCCGGGGGGCCTGTCCTCGAGGCTCAGGTCCTTTGGGCTCTTTCTGACTTTAATCATTTTGAGACAAGCAAAGCTCTGGGCACAGTGAAAGCTAAATGTCATGCCTTTACATTGCACTGCTGTCTCTTTACGACAGCTCTTTTCCTTACTCCTCACCGCCATCGAGTCCCTGTCAACCCACAGTAACCCTAGAGGACAGGGTAGAACTGCCCTGTGAGTTTCCGAGGCTGTCACTCTTTACTGGAATAGAAAGCCCCATCTTTCTCCCGAGGAGCAAGCGACTGGTGGTTTCAAACTGCTAACCTTGGGGTTAGCAGCCCCCAATGCATAACCACCACGCCACCAGGTGGTTAAGAAAACAAAGAAACTACCTACCCTCAAGTCCACGCCCAATGCTGGAACCCTCGTGGTGCAGTGGCTGCTCACTGGACTGCTAAAGACAGTTGCTCCTTAGGAGAAAGAGAAGGCTTTCTCCACCCACAAAAAGTTACAGTCTCGGAAACCCACAGGGCAGTCCTACCCTGTCCTCCGAGTGACAAGGATAGTTAGAGGATGTACAGTGTGAAGACAATGCACCCTGTACTTTTCTTAAAAGTCCTGGGATCTCAGGATTGATGAACCTATAGGGACAACAAATAGAATAAGGGGGTTGGGGGAGGGGGCAATACAGTGGTGGGGGGGTAAAAGGGAGACAATGTCAAGGAGTCGATGTAGAAAAAAATTGTTTGGGAACTGATTGTGGTAACAATTGTTCAATTCTACTTGACTGATACGATATATATTAAATCCCAAATTAAAGAATAAAGAAAAATTATTCTTAAATAAAGAAAGAAAAGAAGAAGAAGAAGAAAATGTTTTTCTCTGCATCTGGAAAAAAAAGAAAAAGTCCGGGCATCTTCACATGAACTTCCTTGGATTTCTCTTATGAACAGAGAGGGTCTGATGAGACGCCATAGGAATTTTTAGTGACACAGTCAACAGGCATGAGTACAACCAAGCAACACCCCCCCTCACCACCACCACCACCACCCCCTGGTTAAGTGCTTGTTGAGATCAGAGTTCTAACTTTAGATGCTCTGGCTGGAAAGCAAATCAATACGTCACAAAGCCTGAGAGACGAAGGAAATGCCCACATGCTGAAAATAAGCATTGGTCTCTGGCTGAAATGTCCGGAAGTGCTGATTAGGTTAACATTCCACTTAATAACAAATGCTCTCTGAAGCCATTTGACCAACAATCTAGAAATTCTCTTCCAGTTGTCCAATGGCTTGATTTCTAAAGATGGAGTGGCTGTGGCCAAGATGTGTGGAAGGGGGAAACCAGATGATCCCTGCCTGTGCTTGCTTTGAGGTTATCTTTCAGATTCATCTTTCACAGCACCCGTCAAAGCAGTCAATAAATGTGGACTGAAAACGAAAAAGCACCAGCTTCCCTCCCTCTCCACGCTCCCTTTCAGGGGCTGGCCATGCTGCACGGAAGAGAAGGCGTTAGAGCTCGCACAGAAGAAACCACCACTGGGCCGGTCTGCTTTCGACTTTGAAGCCCAGAAAGGACCTGCTGGCACAGTTTAGTCCATACTCCTGAATTAAACATAATGAGATAAAGTTCTTCAAGTGGTTAAATGACAAAGATTGCAGTCAGTGTGCAAAGTTTCACTATCAATCCCAAGAATGTAACGATAGACCATCGATAAGAAATGTCTGAGAAAAGGCTCCCATTTAAAGGGAAAACAGCTGAGCCACTCTGAAAGCATAAAGTCAAGATAGGCCAAGTTTATTAACTTCTTGTAATAAAATTTAATCATGCGCTGCAAGCCTGTTTTAGAAAACAGATTATCTGGATCATGCAGCAACTGGGAGATTGCACTGAGCAACAGGTAGAGAATTACATGTTTGATCTCTGGAAATCAGTTCTCCAGGCATGGGCAGAGCCCCTCTAAGCGAGTGTAAATAATCTGAGTATTATCTCAAAGTAGTCGTCTGTTGCTAACTCTATTTGACTTACTTTCTGTTACTCTGTTTATCTTAAATACTGAATGTACAAAGTCTCTATTCAGTAGGGCACACATTTGCAGACGCTGATGGACTCATATGTCAGAATTTCCTGCAGAGCTTAGGAAACATACAATCCTTTGGACTAAAGCCCATGAAATTACCCAGGAAGATTTAAAATCATGCTGATGCCTGGATCTCACCAATTACATCAGAATCCAGAGAGAGGAGAGAGCCTCAGGCATTTGGTATTTTCTGAAAATACCTTCATGAGACTCTAAAAGCCAGACCTGGAATGAGAACACTTACCCTGCTGACTGTAATTTAGTAGACCAGGGTGTCACCTGGCTCTTTTCATGTCTGACAGGTATTGTGATGATTCTACAACCCAGTGTCCATGGACCTTATTCTCAAAAGCTCTGGCCCAGGTCAAGCCAAAGGTCTAGGCAATGCCAAATTTCCATGAGGGATGACTCTCAAAATGAGATCATCCCACTTTTTAACATTTTCTCTGTTAGGGTAACACTTCTTAAATAACATTTGGTCTACATAGTAAGGAGGTAATATTACTTTACACAGATCCATAAACTGACTACAAACAGGTGGTTAAAAACTTATCTGATTTTAATATGAATATGTGACCAGAATTTCATAAGCAAATAGTTGCATTTCTGAGACAAAAGTAACTTAAACTGGTTATCTAGCAAAAATCAATTGTCTAAGTCAGCTTTTAATCAGAAAATAGGGTTACTAGATTAAGCAGACAGGTAAACTTTGAGAATGCACCATTGTGTGAACAAACTCTGGTACATGATAGACAATAAATGTTTGCTTATTAATTAACCCTGTATCCTTGTTTCTCCTCTCCTATTACTCACTTCTTCTCTTGATAGGTGAAGGGAAGATAGTTCAATATTCACATAAAATAGGCATTATGCTAACTACTTGAGATACTCATCAACTGCGGTAATCCAGCAACATCCCTGGGAAGTAGATATTATCAGCTCCTTTTACAGATAAGAAAACTGAGGGTCAGATGGGTACTGCAAGTTCATTAAATACTAGAGAAGCACTTAAGATATATGTAAAATATGGTGGAAAATATGAAAGTTAATATGTTCTTTGCCCTTCAAAGGGTTATTGTGTATATTATCATATTGTTTATTTTATGTCTAGCCATTCTAAGTATTATAGTTTCCAATTTTAGATGAGTAAACCAAGCCTAGAGAATAAATCTCCCCAACTGTTCTAGTGCTAAACAATGTCTCTTTATTCCTACTCAAGGAGCCCTGGTGGCATAGCAGGTTAGGCATTGGGCTGCTAACTATAAGGTCTGTGGTTCAAACCCACTGGCCAGCTCCATAGGAGACAGTGAAGCTGTCTGCTTCTGTAAAGACTTACCATCCCAGAAACCCTAGGGAGCAGTTCTACACTATCCTGCAGGGTCACTAGGAGTCAGAATCAAGTCCATGGCAGTGAAAGGTGGTGGTGGTGGTACTTCTTATTGGCCTTTTCTATTAAGGAGTACCAGCATGTTCTCGCTTCCTCTTTGGAGATTTTTTAAAAGCTTTTTATTGTGAATTGGGTGAGGGTTTGCCGAGTAGATAATCGGTTTTACATTCAACAATTCAAAAACATTTTGTTCCAACTCATCCATTGCAATCCCTCGCTAGGCCAGCATGTGTCCCACTTCCTCCCAGTGCTGACGGTTTCCATTCCGCTCTCTTTCCTAGCCCCCGGAGCTTCGTCCTTGAGTAAGTGCTGCCCGATTGCTCGCAGATGGCTGAGGAGTAGGCTCAGGCCCAGATCTGAAGCATGACTCAGAGCCATAGTCTTGAGGGTTCTCCCGGGGAGCCTGGTCTCTTTTAACCAGCATGTATTTTAAATATAATGACACATTGTCTCACACACTGATATTTAACTTGTGGGGGTGGGCATTCTCCTACGCACCCACATTCACTGTCTCCAATACAAGTGCAAGCTCCTTTAGAACGGGAACTTTCTATTTCTTCAGGATCCCCTCATTACACACTCACAGGTAGACAGGAACATGTGTGAATCATTGCTAATCTAGGTCCGGAAAAGTAAGCTATCTTTCTTTTGTTGCAAAGGGTTTCTGACCACAGATGAAAGGAAATTATTCGACCACCTCAAATCTCCTCATCTGAAGTACTGGGTTCCATTCATCTGGTTTGGAAATCTCGCCACTAAAGCCCGGAATGAAGGTAGAATCCGAGACAGTGTTGACCTGCAATCGCTGATGACTGTAAGTACGTCCTGCAGGAAAAGATGTGCACCAACAGTCCAGAGGGTCCCGGGTCTAGCAGGCCAGGCCAGGAAGAGCCTGCTTTGTTCAGTCAGTCCTGATCTGAAAGAAAGCTGAACGATGGGGCTGGTATTAAGAATCTCAACACACAGGACAGAGATAGGATGGGGATTGATTTGTAGTGCTTGTTCAGGAGCTCTGTTTTAATCAGAACTACACTTTGTAATAGGAGCCATGAGGCAGTGCACCTTGATTGACCAGCAATGTCCTCCAAGGCTCGGAAGGAGATGCCACACTCGCTGCGTGTTTGCCATCCCTGGCCCTGGGATCCCAGAATAAAACCTGGAGTATAAATAAACCTCCCCAGAAGAAAATCCAGGGTAGAAATAAACTTCCCCAATATTGGCCATATCTCAAAGGCAAGCCATCTTTTCAGATGCTTCAGTAAGCATAATAGCACTTTCCCTAAACAAAAGAACCATCGTCATCTAAGAAGCAACTGGGCCTGCAGGTCCCGATGTGAGGGACAGAGAGACGGGGCCCGTGACAGCCTCTTGCCGGCCATAGGCTACAAGGGATGGATCATTAAAAACCAGCACCCAAGCTAACGTGAGTCAATTTTTCTCAATCTCAGATAATAATTTATGTCTGATACGGGAGGAACAATCAATGGACCCCCCTCCTTCCTGCTCCAAACAGAGGGATTTTCTGTCACCATGGCTGTTCTACAGTCCTATTTGTGAGCGGAAAGGTTTAAGATGTATTGACTTCCGTTATCTAAGATAGGCTCCTCCAGTAAGCCTGCTTGAAAGAGATAGAAATACAATGTTTTGCTCTGCACATTATTTACCAAAGTGACTAGACCCTGACACTGGGATGGCTGCCTTTCTAACACCCCTTTGAGACAGCAGGCATGCCAGAAAGTATGGTTTCAAAAAGGATAGGAGAGCTTTTTATAAAGTGTGGCCTATTTTGACACTTTTGAGACTATGTCCCAAGAATTTGTCTGAACATTCATATTGTTCAGGGACGTTCATTGTTTGTCATTTGGGGAACTTTTCTTACAGAACGTCCTTCAGAATCAACTTAATATGCAGCCATATATCGAAAAGATGTGACCCCATTCTGAATCCCGGTAAAGGTTCATTCTCCCACCCGTTTGAGTAAACCGTGTTTCATCTGTTTCCGGCACAGGAAATGAACCGCTACCGTTCTTGGTGCAGCCTCTTATTCGGTTACGACTGGGTGGGCATTCCACTGGTCTACACCCAGGTATGCGCGTGATTCTTGGTCTCCACGTGGCCCCTTGGCTCTCCAGCTGGCTGTGGGTGACCCGCCAGGTGTTCTCACTCTGGTCTCTCTCTACTGCAGGTTGTCACTCTGGCCGTCTACACCTTCTTCTTCGCATGCCTGATTGGACGCCAGTTTTTGGATCCCACCCAAGGCTATGCAGGGCACGACTTAGACCTCTACATTCCAGTCTTTACACTCCTACAGTTCTTCTTCTATGCAGGATGGCTCAAGGTAGCTCGCCGACTCCAGGCCTGGGTCCTGCCGTGTAATGTCAGCCTGTCCCATATGTTCCCATGAAGATCTTTCACAGAGCCTTTAGCAGATCACTCATCAAACACGTGATAGCTCTGAGGTGTTTGCTTTTGTCGCCAAGCGAGGGTCGGAGTGGGTCCTCTGCTGCAGCAGGCTGAGCTGCTCCCTATGCAGAGCAGTCACATGAGCACTGCTCGTTCAGTGGCTATTGATTTTTTTTTTGAAGTTTTTGTGTGCTTCCATTAGGATTACAAGGAGGTAATTAAAAGCCTACCCTGTACCTGCATTGATATTTTATACCACCATCAGCAACTAGGCAGAGTCAATGAGAGCCTTGCCCATCAGATTGGAGCATTAATACTGGGTTGCTAGCTTGTTTGGATTCAAATCTTCAAAGAATTATTTGCAATTCCCTCGCATACTGCTCGCTGCCCCACAACATGAAATGCATCCCACTTTCAAAACCAGAACTGAACCCCAGAAAAGAATGCATTAGAATCAAAACTCGAAGCCTCAAGATTAATGATGGCATTTGGTTTGCCAGGAATTTTTTTAACGAGAGCGCGCAGTAAGCATGGCCTGTCCCAGTATCAAAGCGGCAGTTTGTTGTTGGTGCCATCATGCTGTCTTCCTCTCCCTCCACACACCCATGCAAGCTGTGTGTCTGTGTACAGAGAGAATCAGGTAGGGTTCCCACATTGTGTTACTTGTCTTTGGTCAACTTCCAAAAGAGAAGTCAAAACCAATCAAACCCATTGCCATCGAGTGATTCCAGCTTAGGGTTTCTGAGGCTACAAGCCTTCACGGGAGCAGGGAGCCTCGTCTTCCTCCCAAGGAGCGGCTGGTATTGAGTCCAACACTAGTGATCATGCCTCCAGGCTCCTTCCCAAAGCAGGGAGTGCTGACAGAGCAGAAGAAAGGGGGAAAGCAGACAATGCCCCCATGACTTTAGTTGAAATGCACTGACAGTTTGAAGATGGCTCTCATAAACTAGAACTTTGAAATGTCCGACCTTTCCCACAGCCCCCTGTTGTACAGCCCCAGCCTCCCAGATCAGCGTGTTCCCTGAGGATGCCTTCACTCTCATTGGTTTGGATCTTAACGTGGAAAAATAAATATGCTGGCAGTTCAAATGCTACTCCAAAGAGTACAGGCATGCCCCCGATAAATGGCCAAAACCTTTTTTAACTAGATGACAGTGAGTGTTGATTCTTTTCACTCATTTAAGAGGGAGAGCGAGCAAGAGACATTGAGAGCTCTCATTTCCCATTAGACCTAAAATCGACATAAAATCACCACCATTGGCCCAAATGCTCCTCTCGTCTGTTACTGTCCTTTCCCCTAGGTTGGGCTAAGCGTTTTATTCTTTGCTGTGTCCGTATGAGGGGATCGACCAGCCTGTAGGAAACAATTGACAATTCCTTCCTCCTCACATGCTTTCTCAAATAGTAATAGTCTTTGACTCGCGTATTATCTAAAGGTAAACTCTGAAGCGACACGAAGCTCACGCTGTTAAGAGGTAAGCAGTCCTCAGTGAACTGAGTTTTCCTGCGCCAACAGGTTGTGTCCCCATTCCTAAGCAGCTGTTCCATCTTGACCATTGTGGTGGCTGTAAATCTTTTCAAAGTGAAGGAAATCTGTCTCAGCCTTACACACTATAGATTACTCTGTTATTGGCTGACAATATGGCCTCCAAGAAAGCAAAGGAATCTTTGTGAGATAGTCGATTCAAACATGTAAGTGTCATTTTGGAAATTTAATGTAGACGATGATTGCATGTGGGAGACTCATCTCATAACCTGGGTATAAGGAAATATTTTCAAGACGCAGCTTCTGGCCCACTGAATGTAGGCAATTCCTCAGGCATGAAAAGGTAAACAGTCCTGCGGAACTTGACATAGAGCACTCTGACATGGATAGTGCTACGAGGCTGACCGTCTGGCTCACAGGCTCCCTCTCCCTAGTGCGGCCCCTTAGAATGAGGGGCTGTGCTTCTCCAAGCAGGAGGCTCTCAGTGCTGGGTGTCTTTGAAAGCTCCAGGGAGCTTTAAAGGATTCTGAGGCCTCGGCTCAGCCCCACACCAGCTACACTGCAGTGTTTATGCACAGAGCACTGCTATATGGTTTTTTGCGAGCCGCACAACTCCCCTGAGTGTTAGGTTTCTGTGTGCGCTCTCCATGTTAGTGGGCTTAGTTACACAGGTGCGTCATACGCGGGGGGGCGGGGCGACCCATAATAAATTATAATCTCTGTGGGCTAGGACCCAGGCATCAATTTTGTTGTTTTAAACTCCCAGATGATTTAATATGCTGCCAAAGCTGTAAACTGCTGCTCTAGAGCAGTGGTTCTCAACCTTCCTAATGCCGCGACCCTTTCATACAGTTCCTCATGTGGTAATGACCCCCCCAACCATAAAATTATTTTCATTGCTACTTCATAACTGCAATTTTGCTACTGTTATGAATCGGGCGACCCCTGTGAAAGGGTCATTCGACCCCCAAAGGGGTCGTGACCCACAGGTTGAGAACCACTGCTCTAAGCTGTTTCACTTAAAAAAATCAGTGGGCAGGCTTGTTTCTGAATAGTCTCAGACTAGACACTCGACTAATCAAATCATGACTTTATATCGAACACTGCACCATTTTTCCCATCTGCCCAAAGCAAACACATCCATGGTTCCAAATAATAATAATCATCCAAGAGGATTATTAGAAAATAAGAATGACACGTGAGTCATATCTGTATTGGGCATATAAATCTCTCATTAAGATGGCATTTGGTTCCAGAACCTCCACTATTGACAAAATATTAGAAGATATGTGGTAAGAAGCTGTCTAAGCATTTCCCAGCAGGAAAACTAACTTCTAGGTTAATCATAAACGCTTCAGAAAACTAAACAGGATTCTAATTCCAGCTTTATGACTTTCAATAATTGTACAATCTCTTTACATTATTTTCTTTAACATTGATTTAAATCTTTCTGGGCCATTTAACCCCAGTCAAGTTTAGACTCTATCTTGCCATCTGAGTTCTTATAAATTCCTTGAAAACAGGTAGGTACCCCTCACAGTGCTCAGCACAGGGCCATGTAGCCTGTGCTTTTTCAAGATTTACTCGTTCGATTTGTATCTGATGATCAATAAGTAGGCCTTTAAACAGTGCATAGGTCCTCCTGCAGTCTAGCACACATCTTCCCACCAGTGGAACCAGCACGCCCTGTTGGAGAGCATGCACGGGCAGGGGACATCATTCAGGGTTTCAGAGCTGAGGCTCGCTTTGCTGACAGCTAGTGGCGTCTGTGGAAGCCGACTCTCCTCTGGGCTTTCTATGCTGACTGTGATGAAGACAACAGAGAGTGAGCCGGGGACCATTGTCAGCCACCAGTCTTCAGAAGCACCGTGACGGATGTGTTCTGTCTTCTCCACCGCAGGTAGCCGAACAGCTGATCAACCCTTTTGGAGAAGATGATGATGATTTTGAAACAAATTGGTGCATTGATAGAAATTTGCAGGTTAGAGAAGCTTTTCTTTCCTTTACAAACATTGATAATCCATCACTGTAATGTTTCAGAGCTAAACAGAGTCTACATTCAAACCCTATCCCGTCTGTCTTTTAGCAATAAATGGGGAAAAATGCTAATCCGTTTGGTGTCATTCCGGTGTCTTCCCCGTCCCGGTGTCCCCCTCCAAGCCCCAGGTCTGTGTTCCTGTGTGACTTCATCTCTTCTAAGTAGGATTTCCAGCCAGCCTTAAGTGTCCTCGGTAGCTTCATGCAGAGGCTTCCACTTTCATACAGAGCAATGTGCGAACTCATTCCTTTCCTCCGTTCACTATTGCTGCCCGGAGAGCTGACCGGTGATATACAAGGCAGACAGTTGCAATCTGATGTCACTGGGGGCCTGAGACAAACTCCCTGTGTCCTAAATCTACTAGCATGATGCCAAATAGACTCCAGGCCCTCACCTGGAGGTCCCACACCAAGTCCCATCCGCCCACTGGACCTTGTTCCTTTTCGTTATACGATTCATGTTGGAATTATTTCTAACCCTGTAACAATGATTTTAGGTCTCTCTTTTAGCTGTGGATGAAATGCACATGAACTTACCCAAGCTGAAGAAGGACATTTACTGGGACGATTCTGCTGCTCGTCCTCCGTACACCCTGGCAGCTGCTGACTACTGCATACCTTCATTTCTGGGGTCCACTGTCCAAATGGGGTAAGTACATGGTTTGAAGTCCGCACTGTTTAGGAAACGAGTAGCTCGCTGCTCTGGTCTTCTCAGACCCTGGTCCTGGAATTCCTGGCAGGTCAGTTCTCCGTGTGCAATCGCATTTACCGAGGCTTTTCACAATTTTAGCTACAATTAAGGGTTGCAAGGGAATTAGAAAATAAAGAGACTATATTTTTTTGTTTAAGCATGGTGTGGTTTTGTTGTTGTTTGTTTGTTTGTTTGTTTGTTTTCCAGCTTGAGTAGTGGGGAGCATATGACTCCCATTTGACTTTGCTCTCGTACCATGGCACACTTTGCCACTGGTTGTGAACCCATCTTTCCCTTCCCTAGCCCACCAACTTGAAGAGTGGATGGACTGACGATCTGAAGTCAATGTACTTTTTAACAAATATTCACTGAGCACATACCAGGTGCAGGCACTGTAATAAGCTATTTGGAGACATTTAAGAAATGGGATATGTTTTATTGAAAGTGTCCTCTCAGTTTATAGTTCAATCTAATTCGATTCAGATGACAAATCAGTCTCTGTATGGTGGCTTTAGCATATCAATAGCATACTATGAATAGTCCCTATGCCCTATGAACCTTAATTAAGCAGAATGACGCCTGAAGTAAATCATGCACAGTCCCTGAATGATTTTATTAAACATGATCATGTATTTCATTGTGGAGACTTGTGTGAATGTGGACAAAATAAGTATACTTGCTGAAAGTAGATACCGTGGATTCTAAGTAACTTTGAGAAGAGAATTTGGGTAAATTAAGGGGGGGGAAATAAAATATATTTATGTATATATGTTTATATATATACAAGTGTGTATATGTGTATATATACATATATATACATATATACACGTGTCTGTCACACTGTGGTAGCTTGTGTGTTGCTGTGATGCTGGAAGCTATGTCACTGGCATTTCAAAGGCCAAAAGGATCACCCAAAGTGAACAGATTTCAAATATACATATATGTTTGTATCTATATATTTAGAATATACACTTATCTACTATATATACATATCTACTACATATAGTAGATAAATATGGATACTACATATATATTGTAGAGAAAGTGGAAACATCTATGACATTCTTCTTATGACTTTTGGCAAAACTATGACCCACTCTCCCTGAGATCAGCTGTAAATAGAGTGTAAAATACATCCATATCCTGTAGTTGCATCTCTGTGATCTAGTCTAACTCCCTACCTACCTCCCAAGCCCACTCCCGTTCCCTGCCCTCTTATTTTCATCTTCTGGATCCCGACCTTGACTCCCCTTCCTGAAAGGCTTTCCTCTTAGATGTATTTGCTCTGTGCTGTTGAACTGGTTCCTATTCATAACAACCCCTGCAACAGGGTAGAACTGCCTCAAATGGTTTTCTAGGCTGTACTCTTTACCAGAAAAAAATCACCAAGTCTTTCTCCTGTGGAGCAGCTGTTGTTGTTGTTGTTGTTGTTGTTACTAGGTACCGTCATGTCTGTTCCAATCCATAACGACCCTACACACAACCGAAAGAAACACCGCACAGCCCTGCACCATCCTCACAATTGTTCCTGTACCTGAGCCCATTGTGTCAGTTACCGTGTCAAGCCATCTCACCGAGGGCCTTCGTCTTTGTCACCGCCCCTCCACTTCACCAGGGACTGACACACTATGTCCAAAGTATGCAAGATGAAGTCTTGCCGTCCTTGTTTCTAAGGAGCATGCTGGTCTAGTTCTTCCAAGACAGATTTGTTTGTCCTCTCAGCAGTCCACAGTACTTCCAACACTCTTTTCCAGCCCCACAATCAAATGCATCAGTTCCTCTTCACTCTTCCATAGTCAGTCGCTAACTTTCACATGCGTATGAGACCAGGGAAAATACCATGGTTTTAGTCAGGCGCACCTTAGTCCTCAGAATACCATCCTTGTTTTTCATTCTTCTAAAGAGGTTTTGTGCAGCAGGTTTACCTAATACAACTAGTCTTTTGATCTCTTGACTGCTGCTTCCATGAGTATTGATTGTGGGTCCCAGCAAGGAAAACCCTTGACAACGTCAACCTTTTCTCCATTTACCATGATGTTACCCATTGGTCCAATTGTGCGGATTTTGGTCTTCTTCATATTGAGTCCAATCCATACTGAAGGCTGCAATCCTTGATCTTCATCAGCAAGTACTTCAAGTCCTCCTCACTTTCCACAAGCATCTTGCACAGCACAGGTTGTTCCTCCAATCCTGGTGCCACATTCTTCTTCATATAATCCAACTTCTCTGATGACTTGCTCAGCAGACAGATTGACAAGTATGGTGAAAGGGTACAGCCCTTCTGCACACCTTTCCTGATTTTAAACCTTGCAGTATTCCTTTTTTATGTTCACACAACCGCCTCTTGATCCATGTACAACTTCCAAATGAGCACAATGAAGTGTTCTGGAATTCCCATTGCTCCCAAGGTTATCCATAGTTTATTATGGTCCACCCAATTGAATGCTTTTGCATAGTCAATAAAACACAAGTAAATATCTTTATGGTATTCTCTGCTTTGAGTCAAAATCCACAGACATTAACAATGATTTTCCTTGGTCCACATCCTCTTCTGAGTCTGGCCTGAACCTCTGGCAATTCCCTGCTAATGTATTGCTGCAAGAGTTGTTGGATGATCTTCAGCAAAAGTTTACTTGTGTGGGATATCAATGATATTGTTCTACAGTTTGAGCATTCTGTTGGGTCACCTCTCTTTGGCATGGGTACAACTATGGATCTCTTCCAGTTGGCCAAGTAGCTGTCTTCCAAATTTCCTGGCATAGATGAGTGAGTGCTTCCTATGCTTCATCCGCAGCTAGGGGGTTTGAGTTGCCAACCTTTGGGTTAGCAGCTGAGGCCTTAACTATGAGGCTACCAGGGCTCTTTCCATTATTGTTAGCCATCTACTCTTCAGTCCAAAATCTAAATTCACTGCCATCAAGTCTATGCTGACTCATAGTGATCCAATACACAGTGCCAGAGGCTGTATGTTGTCACTGAAACAAACAGCTTCCTCTAGTGGACTTACATGACCTTACCATTAGCACCCCAATGCTTGCCTGGCAGAGCTCCCAGAGAGCCTACTTATAGGTAGATAACTCCTAAACCTGTGGCACTCTTCCTCAAAGGAGCCAAAAACCCTTCTAGGACCAAAGACAAGGATGACTGACAGTGGAATTTCAGGAGTTTTGATGAAAAGGATTTAGGAACCAGGAGATTTGTTTTGTAGTCTTCAAATCACACCTGCCTGGAGGTTGTCTACTATGATAGACTTGCTTCTGATTCAAAAGATGGTTCTTCCAGAAAGTTCTAAAAAGGCCAATACCATTGGTGGGATCAGGGCATCATTAAGAGGCCTGTATTTCAAATGTCCATGTCGTTGTGTTTTCATTATGGTTCAATTTTTTTTCTTTAAATGTTTTATTGGGAATTATTTGAATGTTTACAGAGCAGTTCATCAGTTTTAGATTCAACAATTATACACATTGTGTGTCAACTCATAGACTGCAAGCTTCTCTATATACTATCACTTATCCCACTTTCTCCCTGTGTTTCCTGTTATATTCCCTCCTTCTTTCCTAATCCTCTGAACTTTGCCCTTTGGTAAATGTTGCACTTTTGCTCTTAAATGATTGATTGTCCTACCACAGGGGTGAGTTAAATTCCATGCAGGAAGAGTAAGGGGGATAGTCTCAGGTTCCCAGATGTCTCGTTCTGACCAGTCAGTCTGGTCTCTTGTGTGATTTTGAGTTTTGTTCCACATTTTTCTTCCACTCTGTCCAGGACCTTCTAATGTGATCCTTTTCAAAGCATCTGGTCATGTCAGCCAGGCACCATCTAGCTCTTCTGGTCTCAGAGTCCTGTAGACTAATATATGTGTGGTCCATTAATCCATTGGGCTAATTATTTTTTAAAAAATTTTATTGTCTCATGACTCTTGTCCTATCCTATATTTTCATTCTACGCACATAATTTTGCATCACTAAGCAATTGTCTCCCCAGGAGCCTTGGTGGTATAGTGGTTACATGTCAGGCTGCTACCCCAAGGTCAGCAGTTCAAAACCACCAGCCAGTCTGAGGGAGAAAGAGGAGGCTTTCTACTCCCATGAAGAGTTACAGTCTTGGAAACTCACAAGGGCAGTTCTATTCTATCCTATAGGGTTACTATGAGTCAGCATCTACTTGATGGCAATGAGTGAGAAGCAGATGTCTGTGTTCTTTAGAATGTGATCAAAACATGCTTTTCTCTTTTATCTATATACAGTAACACAGAATTCGTGATTTATCAGACTTTAGAGAGAATACCTACCCCCAAAAGTTTACTGGGAATATTAAATGAATGGTAAATATAAAAGCATCTGGCGAATAATATATTATGTAACTGAAATACAATATTACCATCAACTAGTTCTGTTTCTTATTTGTGGATGTGATACTGACACACAGAAAGATTCAAGGAATCTATTTTTTATATTAAACTAACAGAAATTTGGCACAGGAAATAAAATACTTGAGAGAAAACTTGGGAGATAAGGTACCTAAGAATGCAGAAAACATTACTGGTTGTCAGCGAGAACTAGTTGTCAGTGAGAAGGTGTAAGTATTATCGTGATGATGAGAAGCATGCGGAAAGACCGGATTCTATTGAGAGAGATTTGTCAATATGTTAATGAACTCAGAACAATTGATCAAAGAAGCTATTGGACAGAAGAGCAAGTGATTGTGATGATGTTCCCTGTGAATCTGGACCATTAAAGCAAAGCTTCCTAATCCAAGAAAAGTCACTGCAGGAATATAGGCTTTGGAGAGCCCGGAAATGTCTTTTTGAATCCATTAGTGTCAATTCTTCCTGTGATTGGGTGTTAAACAAGATGATTATAGTTGCGTATCACAAAAAAAAAAAAACCTTAAACGAAAAGGGTTTTATTGGGTTACATTCAAAGACTAGTCTAGCTTTGGACATGGTCGCCTCAGAGAAC